TGCAGCGCTATGGGAATGGGTGTGTCCACCCGAATTCTTTTCACAGATGAAGCTGCAGGAAGCCTCAGCCCTTCTTCAAATGTCCAAAAGAAATCCTGGCAACCCCCAACCCAATGTGTCTATTGTATGTTTGTGCACGCCATAGTGAGCGTACCGGTACGTTGTGCGGGTGTCTGCGTGTCAGAGCATGGGTACGCCAGTGGCGTGTGTGTGCATGTGTTTGACTGTGTGGAAGCACGAGTGCCCAAGCTGGGCGTGCGGGTTCTCTTGGAGGTGCTTGCATATTTCCGGGTGCAGGGGCTAACCGTATACTTACCCCCGCATTCACACGCGAACTATCACACACGTCCTGTGCCGCATGCTGATCAGGTAGTGCCATATATGGCCCAGAATCTGCGAAAAACAGGCTTAGGGTGAAATTTCACAAAATGACTTTTTCCGATTTTCAGCTTCTACTGGGCATGGAAGGTGAGGAAACAAAATATTACAGGTGTGGGTCGACTAATAGTGGTATTAAATCTATCTCAAACACACTAGGGTATTGTGTTAATCCAACCTTCTGCGCTGCGCAGCCGGTCTGGCGCTCTGTTTTTTGCAGGAAAAGTCTTGTTTTTGCCGATAAGTGCGAAAAGTTGGGAAATTCCCATCTCACCTTACTAAAATTTGAACTCCGCGATCGACAGTCTTATCAGAGAATATTGTTTCATTCTTCACCTGTAGTCTTCCCTGGGCCCCATCGAGGTTCCTGTTGTTTTTTCCTCCGTTGTGTCAGTGGGTATCAGGGCATGTTTTCAAAAGCATCGCTGGTGTGAGCAAGAAGTTGACTTTACAGCTCGATTTCTCGAGATCCTGAATAATTTTGCTTGACGAAAAAATGAACAAGGAGAACGGAGCCAAGCGTCTCGATGGCTGTGTAACACCAGGGACCAAAACCTACTGTAAGCGCGTTTTGGAGAGAGAGACTGAAGTGGGTGCACAGACTCTGGTAAGTGGATCCACTTCTAATTCTCAAGTGGCGAAATATATTCCTACGCTGAAAACATTGCAGTCTTGAGTGAGTGGTAAATCGTTGGTGAGCTACTGCTCAGTGACTTGGGCTATTTACGAAAGCTGTGACCTGTCAGCTGCCAACGTCGCCAGCAGTAAGTCATCACCTGCGTCCACTTGAATAAAATACAGCACTGAAAATTGAGTATGTTGTTTTGCAGTACTATTCTCTATTGTCAGTGTGTGAAGTATTTTGTAAATGTTGTGTTGTAAAGCACCAGTGATTTGAAAATATTCCTACACTACTCGCACCAGTTCTATTATGATGAATGCATGCACCTCTACCCATAAGCACTATGTGCATGCACATACGCAGGCACGCGTCTGAGCCTAAATGTTGTTTGTGTGTGCGCGCGCGCGCGCGCGCAGTGCATGTTGTGTGTGCGCGCGCACGCGTGCACAAGTGCATGGACAGCAGAATATGGTAACTAAGCTCAAGAGCATGCATTTTGCATGTGGGTGTATGCTATTGCGGGTGCGCGTATATGACGTACGTGTATTTGTGTGTGCAAGGGGTACTTGTTTGTGAGCATGTGCATGTAAGCGTACATGTATGTATCAATGTGTGCAATGCGCATGCACCCACATACACTTGTGGTTGTTCCATGTTATTGGGAATAGTGTATGATTATACCTAATGGATGCTACACTGATTACTAGCAGTCGTTCATTGCCAATATTGAGTTGAACCTGCATCTACATTGTACATGTACTACAAACATGAAACTGCCCCCCCCCCCCCCCAGAATATAATAATAATTGTTATCCTCCTCAAGCTCTTTGACTGTTGCTTTATGAGAAATACTAGGAGTGAACTATTGCAAGAGTTGTGATGCAAAGCTGGTCTAAACTGTGCTCAGGGTCAGTAGGCCTCGGCCTGGATCATGAATAACGTTGTGCATGGATCATGCCGATATCCAGATCAAGGGCTAAAAAGCCCAGGAACCATGGCCTCATCTAGTCTCCATGTGTACTATAACAATCTGGGGACCATTCAATGCTTTTGACACAAAAAATTGGAGTAATACCACAAGGAATGCATAGAATGATCACCTTACCTGAAAAATAGCAATTCCAAGAATGGTGGAAAATCGGCCAATTTTCGGTCCTATTTTTATTTTTGGAGGTCTAAAATGCACGGTAACCCCCCTAAAATTATATATTTCTAGTTTCTATGAAGTATGAGGATCCCAAAAATAAAATAAAAAGGGCATGTCCATGAAGAAAATATGAAGCCGTACACCCAATTGTACTTTGCGGACGGGCATTTCTGCGAAGTTCATTTTTGTACCAAAATTACTATTTTTCTGAGTAGTCAATGCTGATTGCCAGATTTTCTTGCTCAAATGCTTCACTGTGATGTGTGAAAGGACTTGCAATCACAAAGAGAAGCCAGACAACTGGTAAATCTGAAATATGACCCCAAAACAAGCAAATTTAGGCTGAAATCGATAAATACACCCACCCCTAGAAATACACGTCAAACAGCCTTATATCCGCGGAAACACCCCCTGAATTTTTTTGTGGAGTAACATGGGATAATATAGAGCACACTCATCCACAAAAAGGAGAGGGTTTATGAAGAAAAAAAAATCACCCCCAAAGGGTTGGAGCCTCCTTAAAAAATCCCAAAAAAAACACAAAATTGTTATCACAGGAAAGAAATGAAGAGAGATGCACCAGACTGAAGGAAGAGACATGGATGGTTTTTGTTTAGGTGACATGACAAGGTAGGCATGTGGGGGCAGGCTTGTTGTGGCCTCTTGGTGCTGCAGGCTGTAGTGGCCATGCACAGTTCTGCATGAATTTTGTTTGCTCCTCACTCAGCACATTCTGGAGCTGAATACATGTACTGGTGTGCTCTGGCGCTACACACCACAAGGAAACCCGACTCCAGTTGAGATGGCACCTTTTGAAGGGTGAATCTAGTACAACTGTTCACTAACAAGCAAGAACACAGCCTTTCAAACTGTTCCACTGTTCATAGTAAGAGCATAGTGTACTGGTGTGCTGCAGTATCTGCAGCTTGGTGCTGACCAGCATGTGAAATATCGGCACGCTGTACAATCCCTTGCAGCTAGCTGACCAGCGAGGAAAGTCTCGAGTGGGGGCCTCTCGATCTGCTCACTCATTCGCCTGGCCTTCAGTAGCACTTAATCGCCAAGGACATTAATTCAAAACAGTTTTCACACTGCGTTACAAGCCTTTTTCCTCGTGAACTTGCTGCAAACGTATGAGCTCTGCTGCGCGTGTTCCTTTTGCGTGAGGCTCAGAAACAGCTAGTATCTCCGTACTTCGATTGGCTGGATCGATGTCGTCCAGGTTCTCCTCGCTATCGCCATCACGACTCTAACTGGAGACGATTTCTTCACCATTTTCCGCAACCAGCAGCTAGCGCAGAAATTTCGCCATTCCTGAGTGTAGGAGATGGAATCCGTTCGATCAGCTCAAAAACTCTTCGTTGTGACTAGAGGAGTAGCAGGGAATATTCTACCGGAAGCCCTTTGACTTCCCTGACTGCTGAAACCCTTCCTGCCATGAATACTACTTCTTCAAACAAACGAGATTCTCTTTGGTTCCACTTCACTGCACTCGATCGTCCACGCGACACAACCTTTTTACAAAACATCAATTTTCTCAAAAAAATGATTTTCACCCTAAGCCTGGTTTTCGCAGATTCTGGGCCATATGTGTTGTACAGTGCACTCTCAGTTGACATGCCCCCTTTCGAACCCAGACAATCTTTTCGGGATTGGGCTATTATACTATTTTTCTGTTTTCAGGATGCTGAGTCGATTGATCTTGGTCCGAGGAATTTGAGACGCTCTCTTCCTCCTTTATCCCCAATCGAACTCACGCTCTTCCACCGAAACCGGGTGATCCTATCAGAGGGGGACTTAGGAAAGGGTTTGCTCCCACACTGGAGCTCGCGCTATTCCGACGACTTGACTTGACACTTGACTCCGGTGTGGGAGCAAACCCTTTCCTGAAAAAATCATCGCCGAAGTCGCAACCACTATTTCATAGAGGGGCATTTCTGCGCAAAATGTCACTAAAAGCGCCATTTTGTTCTTATGAGCACGGATGAACACGATTGGCCCATAATGTTGTGGTCTTTTGGATGCTGAGTCGACTGGTATTGTTCCAAGAAGGCTACGATGCAGCGTTTGGCCCTTATTCCCAAATAAAACACGGGAGAGTAAGCGATCACGTGCTTGTCCGTACACCAGTGACCTGGTCATCGTTCCTGCAGGCTACAACATTTTTTTACACCAATGTTCAACCCAAAGGTTCAAAGGGGGTTCAACTTGAGTGACATGAACGCGCCCAAACAGACTGTAAGTTGTAAAGAGCAGAGCTGCTCACTTCGCACCAGCTGAGTAAGTCATTGCCTGCCTGCTGGTTGTTTTACCTACTGCTTATTCTTCCAGCCACGAACGCCACATCGGAGAAGTCATTCAGTGCACTTCGCAGCCTGAAGACATTTATTCAATCCACACAAGACCGTGTCAATCATCTTTCTCCAAGTTATGAGAATTCGTATACATCTAGAGGTTATACCAATGATTTCATAGAGATTTTCGAATGGAAACACTAGTATACGAGGGTGAGTCAGCAGATTTTCGAATGTGTTCAATATGCGGCGCTGTGCCACGATCACTCACGAATCTGTGACTTTGCCAAAAACATTTCAACTGAAGATGTAATTGTATAACCTGTATAGGTGCACTACATGTACTGGTACATTGTAGTAACTTGATTCGGTCATATCGTAAAAATGTCTCACCGGACCAGTCAAATATGTGGCAGCTATAGCCCTGGCATACATGATGCCGTGCACTATGTCCACATGCGCACATCAGTATTCAGCACATGAGGACAAATGGTTTGGTGTCCTTGATGTCAACAGAGTTTGTTGCAAAGCGCATTTGCATTCCACCTCCAAAGCTCACCTTATCTTGGACATTAACGTCGACACCCTTTTTTATCAGCAGCTCACACAGTGCTTTATGTCCACGGAACGCGCAGACATGTAGAAGTGATACTGGTTCGCAGTCCTATTAGGTTACCATAGCAACAAACACACACATACACACATACACATATACACATTCTTACAATCACCTGCAAAGCATACAAGTTCCTGATTTTTCCTTTCTATTGCAGCACTGTACCATTCACACGTACTTGAAGTACAATTGACTTCTCCAAGAACACAGCATATCTCATCTTAGTGTGTGTGTCGTAGAGGACGGGGACATAGTAAATGCTGGCTGGAACTTGACACAAAATTCAGAATAATACTTGCATCAGTGGTGCCTATGAACTGAACTCATAACCTCAGATTAGTGATACAATGAGCACATCACCCCCAGAGTGTGCAACTGACCACACAGCCTTTATCCAGTGCTGCTACGCCAGAACTTCACATCACACGTGGTTCAAAAGGTTACGCTGGCAAGCAGTGTAAAGTGACCCGAGGAGAGTTGAACCCAAAACAGGGTTGGGTTCAACCCTCTATCTATCATGCACGGTGTGAACATACTGCGTGCAAGCTCGTCAAGTGATGTGAAGTCCTGCCATCTCATAACGTGTTACAACAAAACTGCAGTAGCACACTATTGGGGGTTGTGTACCCTTGGCAGAACTACAGTACCTTTTCCCTTATCGTTCACCTCTACTAAAGTATACCCACTGGCCAGTGGTTATGTTGTAGCTCTACTAAAGTATACCCACTGGCCAGTGGTTATGTTGTACCTCTACTAAAGTATACCCACTGGCCAGTGGTTATGTTGTAGCTCTACTAAAGTATACCCACTGGCCAGTGGTTATGTTGTACCTCTACTAAAGTATACCCACTGGCCAGTGGTTATGTTGTACCTCTACTAAAGTATACCCACTGGCCAGTGGTTATGTTGTAGCTCTACTAAAGTATACCCACTGGCCAGTGGTTATGTTGTAGCTCTACTAAAGTATACCCACTGGCCAGTGGTTATGTTGTAGCTCTACTAAAGTATACCCACTGGCCAGTGGTTATGTTGTAGCTCTACTAAAGTATACCCACTGGCCAGTGGTTATGTTGTACCTCCACTAAAGTATACCCACTGGCCAGTGGTTATGTTGTAGCTCTACTAAAGTATACCCACTGGCCAGTGGTTATGTTGTAGCTCTACTAAAGTATACCCACTGACCAGTGGTTATGTTGTAGCTCTACTAAAGTATACCCACTGGCCAGTGGTTATGTTGTAGCTCTACTAAAGTATACCCACTGGCCAGTGGTTATGTTGTAGCTCTACTAAAGTATACCCACTGGCCAGTGGTTATGTTGTACCTCTACTAAAGTATACCCACTGGCCAGTGGTTATGTTGTAGCTCTACTAAAGTATACCCACTGACCAGTGGTTATGTTGTAGCTCTACTAAAGTATACCCACTGGCCAGTGGTTATGTTGTAGCTCTACTAAAGTATACCCACTGGCCAGTGGTTATGTTGTAGCTCTACTAAAGTATACCCACTGGCCAGTGGTTATGTTGTAGCTCTACTAAAGTATACCCACTGGCCAGTGCTTATCTTGTAGCTCAACTAAAGTATACCGTGTATACAATAAAACCTTCAACTAACGACCACCCCTTGGGGCAAGAAGAAACGGTCTTTAGTGGCAGGTGGTCTTTAGTGACAGGTGGTCTTTAGTGGCAGGTGGTCTTTAGTGGCAGGTGGTCTTTAGTTAGAAGTTTGCATCGCGCAACCCTATAATGGATCCCACCTCTGATATGCATGTCAAAATGTAGCTAATACAATTTCCCACCACTTGCGCAATGCTATTTCTCCTTTGAGAAGTAGCATCGATCATAGAGCAGGTTCGAGCAGGTGCTCTCCAAGACGTTTCCTTTCATGTTTGCTCATGAGAGCACTTGAAACTATGCCAGGTGCAGTTCAGCCCATAGTCAAAATGAGATTGCGTTAATTCGTGCAGCTATAGTATCGAAAGAGTCCATTCAGGACAGAAATCATCAAAATGTCGAAGAAGTAGCTTCGAACAACCTTTGATTTCCTGCACTGCTGTCGCTAGTTACATGTCAAAAATCGACTTTGGGACAAGAAAAGGCGGCCGCTGGATGCGTTCAGCAGGTAGTCGCTTGTCACAGTGCATTTTTGTATATGAGACCGTCCGTGCCTGGTGAAGTGGTGTGTAGAACCAGGCTGGTCGCTAGTTACGGTGGTCTGTAGTACCAGGCTGGTTGCTAGTCACGGTGGTCTTTAGTAGCAGGCTGGTTGCTAGTTACGGTGCCGGTCTTTAGTTACAGGTTTTACTATATATGGCTTTGAGGCGCATTGTTCACCACATTTACAAAGAGAGGAACATGCAATTTTCTAGGAACATCTTTGTCAGCAAAGTGACGCTGGATGGACATGTGCTCAGTTTATCAGAATAAACAAACCAGTGATCAGAACAAACAGTTTCACGCCGAGCACTTTGGCCAGTACTCACCTGCCGTGGCTCATTATAGACGTTGAACATAACTTTGCCGTGCAAGAGCGACGGATTACACCACAGTAAAAACTGGACACAATGAATGCTGCCATAGTAGCATGCTGCCAGTATCAGAAGAGCCTGAGTATGCAAGAGCAAATGTGCACACACGCACAAACAAGCACACAGATACGTACGTACATACATGCACATACGCACACGCTGACATGCACATACACACACACACACACACACACACACACACACAAACACACACACACACAAACACACACACACGCACACACAAACACACACACACACACGCCCACACAGACACACCATTAAAACACATATTTTGCACGCACGTATGCACATAAACACTCACACAGGCGCGTGCGCACACACCGCACACACACAAAAACACACATACAGATACATACACACATATACACACACATACACATACCAAACACACAAACAAACAAAAAAAAACAGATAAAGATACACACCTGCTAGCATGTTCAAACACACGTACACCCAAACACCCAAAATAACACAGACAAACACAAACACACGGACATTTGCATGCTCGCACATACACGCACGCACACACACACACACACACACACACACACACACACACACACACACACACATACACACACACACACTCAGAACTCAGAACTCAGACATGCCGATCATCACGGAAGCGATGATAGCTAACAGCTATGTTAGACAAAGCAAATTGAGCTAGGATTACACCATTCAACAGCTTGCAAGGATGATGATTTAACCGCAACTAATTTTAGCCTGATGTCCACCGCACAGCTGATTGAAGTGGCTTTTTCTGGCCAGTGAATCCCTATTTTTCATTTTCTTTCTCCACTTTTACACACACAGAGACACACACACACACACACACACACACACACACACACACACACACACAGAAACACACACACACAAGCTAGCACACTCAATTACGCACATACCCACCCAAGTATGTACGCACACTCCCGCATACACATGTGCACGCACACGCACACACACACACACACACACACACACACACACACACACACACACACACACACACACACACACACACACATACACACACACACACACGCACACACATTTGTACTTGCTCACTGCCAAAACTGGTCACGTGAGTCTCACCGAAGAGGGGAGAGAAACTCCAAAGGAATGTTGGAAAGATGACTCAATTAGCTATTGAACCGCCCAACGGCCTACACCCCTGAAATCCGCAAACTAGCGTGGACTTGAAAGTATCCAACTTATGGGCTCATCACACCTCAGTAAGTGGGGAGGACAAGGTGACGAAAAGGATTGATGGCATCAAGGTATCCGTCCCGGGATCCAACTGCAGTTACCTCTGCCCCCAGTGAAGGTAACACTTGGTACTAGTGCGGGTGGCTAAATATAATGTAGTTTGGTCCTACAGATGGATCGCGGCACGGTGATCACGGCACGGCGGCACGGTGCCAACGAGTGAGAAAATCATTTGGCGTGATCGGCAAAAGCATGTCGAAAGCGTTCAACACACTATCCAGGCACCGTTTGCTCACTATATTAGCTAGCTTCCTTGAGAATGATGAGGTCACCATTATGTCCTAGCTACTCAGGAACACGTCCCTTTAGGTCCGGTTACCTGGAGGGAAGAGCGAGCAGTTCCAGACCACCTGTACTACACCACAGGGTGACTCCATATCACCTGTCCTATTCATTATCTACCTGGAGGCAACACTTTGGGAGGTGAGACAGATTATCTGCGCAAGACCCGATCTAGATCGTCTGACTGCAAATGTATTCAAGAGCTCCTGCCCGACATTGCAAAGTGCCTCAAAGCCTGGGACCTCAACATCAATGAATATAATACAGAACTCACAAACATCATATGGCTCAATGACAGAGTGTGCGGGGAATGGCGCCTCACCATTGGTGACCACGAGGATGCTGCGCAGAGAACGCAACTCGCCACAGCTGCCCTGCACCGGCATTATGGATATGTGGTTCCGTTGTAAACGAATCGCTGAGAGTACGGCTATACAAAAACATTCATCTTATCAGTCCTGTGCTACAACAATGGGACTTGGGGCCTCACTGGCACCGCTATGCATAGAGTTGATGCATTCCATAGACAACAACTGCCGAAGGTTATTGGCATACGGTACCCAGCTAAAATCAAGAATAGCACCCTGTGCAAGAGGACAAACTCAACACTACTTGGTATCTCGGTCCTGAGAGCCCGCTGGCGTCTTTTTGGGCACGTGCTGCGGCTGGACCAGAGTGCACCGGCGAACCTGTCAATGTGCTCCTACTTCAAGCCATCCACTGAGCCTACCTGGAGGGGCAGGCGGGGCACAACTCTGGCTGTCGTGCTCAGACACCATCTCGAGCTGGTTGGGAGGACCCTCAAGACCTCGGCGGATCTTGAGGAGCTGAGGAGCATCGCCCAGAACCGCGGGGCGTGGAGCTACCTTTGCGGCCGTATCCTAGAGAGATATGTTACTGCTCACGGAGGGTCCCTGGCAATGATCAGCAAATTCAAATTCAACTCGGTTGAGCTGCTTGTTTGCTTGTTTTAATTGTATTCTATTTTCGTCAGGCAAGCACCTAGAATTAATTCATTGTTTCGGGTTACTTCACTCATCCGTACCAGGGTAGGACGGTCTGGTTTATTTTTTATTTTATTTTTTATTTTAGTTGCGGGCAGGGGTGTATGCATGTACAATTGTGCATATTGAATAGCTTTTCTCGATCAAGCCAGTCGATCAAATCTGACTGTAGTCGATCCATCGTAGCCATTGTCCCAACAGATCAAGGTCCGGGGCCACGTCCCCTCCAGGACCAGATCTTTGCCTCGCTGGCAAACGAGTCTGACGAGCAGCTCTCACCGAAGTTCTTGAAAACTTCTGTCAATGAGCGACGCAGTGGCGGAGCTGATGCTGTTTCAGGACCGATTGCGAATCGGAGATACAATGTAGAAGACAACGTCGTCACCAAGTGCTGCAGGCAGCTTCTGACTCTGAGGTCGATGTCTGGACTGCTATACATATTTTGGGTCGTGTGTGTACAAAGTCTACCTTGTAGTCATGCACGTTTGCATGCACTAAAAAAAATTGCGGTCGGATGAAAAAGACGGTCGGTCGGGTGACCCGAAACAACGAATTAATTCCGGGTGGCCTCACGCGATTTATATCGCATATGTTTTTATATCGCTATCAATATCCTGTTTGGTTGTTGTCGCTTCGGCTTATGCGAAAGCTGTACATGCTGTGAATATTTACATTGCATTTATGCCGACGCGAAGAACCTTCTAATAATAATACTTCAACATGCCAATGTCCACTCGCAACCATGGAATCGCGGCTCATCTAGCTCCTCCTGAGCCTGCCTAGACTGATAAATCTGTAAAGGCAGAAACAACTCGAAATAGTCGTTTCCTTTGACCGGGAAACAGTGAGAGTCTACGAGGAGGGCAGCGTAGGTGACAGCCTTGCAGACGACGAAAGACTCACCAATGCAGCCTCCACAGGTCGTCGGCTCAGGCAATTACAACCCAGGGAGCGGTTCCTACCTGAGATGCCGCACCCAGGTAGGAATGTTCGTGCATCCAACATTGGCAACAACGCCCAATTCGAGCGAAGGCCATCAGGCCACGGACTGTTTGACAACGATAGCCGAACCCCTGGCAGCGACCCGCATTGCAGGACCTGCCAGTCAGTAGGCATTGCTCCCAGTTCGGCCGAGGCAGTAGTCGCCAACCACACTGGACTCAGCAACCACCAACCACTGCTGGAGCTCGTCCACGGATGGACGGAGCATGAGTTCCCGGACTGGCTGGAGTCTGACGAGACAAGTGCTTGTGACAGTAACGTTCATGGGCGGTTATTACACCCCATTGCATTTTGGGGAAATATTGGTGTCTCATATTTTGTTTTATGTATTATTCGTTATGGCTATTTTTGTGTGTTGTTTCCCCGCCCCGCGCCGCCCCAGTTCCGGGCGTGACCTAAATCTTCCAATAATCACTCCAGTGTTGAGTCTGACCTAATCCTTCTGTTGTTGCATTCGGGGGGCTGTGGGAGAAAATGCTATCCATGTAATTATCCCGCTGGGCGTGGTCCCTAAAATCAATGGAAAAATGTAGGTTGATTATAGACCTCCGCTTCCTCAATAAGCATTCGGCCGACTTTCATTTTAGAGTTGAGTTGAGTTGTTTTTTAATCACCTTGCCCCCCCCCTCCCATGTGTAGTCCGCCCTCTGACAGGCTGCCTTGTGTTGTCTCTTGGTGTGTTTTTCTTGTGCTTGCTGCCTATGCTGTTCTGTTCCTGTCGTTTTTTAGTATAGAGTGTTTTTTCCGTGTGAATTGCCAATTCAATGAACTTACCCTTACCCATGTGAAGTGAGATGCCCGAGGAGCAGGGATGGTGAGGGAGGGAGTAGCCCGATGGGCAGTGATGATGACGGAGGGAGAAGCCCAATGGGCAGTGATGATGAGGGAGGGAGAAGCCCGATAGGCAGTGATGATGAGGGAGGGAGAAGCCCGATAGGCAGTGATGATGAGGGAGGGAGACGCCCGATGAGCAGTGATGATGAGGGAGAAGCCCAAAGGGCAGTGATGTTGACAATGGTTGTCTCAGCTTGCTTGTATGCATGACGGTATGAGGCGTGAGGCCGTGTTAACATGACGCCTGGGTCGGACGGTGCAGCGGTTTTCACCCCCAGTCCCCTACTCAATTCACACAGCGCATAGTGTACACAGCAAGCATTTTACCAAGAGTACATAAACAAGACTGTGCAACTCCGGATCTCTCCTGCACATTCTGCAGATACCCCGTCCCACGGCGGAATCTTTTTGTTGACGTCACCTTTTTCCAGAAAAACGCACATTTTGCCGCAGAACAGTGGGAGAGCACGTGCTGGACACCGACCTTCTAATGTGAAGCCCGGCCAAGTGCACGAGGCAACACTTTCCAAAAGACTCGCAGCGCATGCGTCGTAGAAAAGATTACGTCAACAAAAAATTCCGCCGTCGGCGAACGCATCCAGGAGTTGCACACTCTTGTTTATCTAATCTTGATATTACACAGAGGAAGGTCAGACCCCTGGAAAG